CCTCTTGTCAGGGGACATGGCGATAGGGAGGCTCCTGGCATATAGAATGATGGTTGAAAGCATGGGTTCTGGAACCGGAGTGCCAGCTTTGCCCCCTCCTAGCTGTGTGACACTTGGCAAGGTCCTCACCCTCTCTGTGCCTCACACTCTCACCTGGAAAACGGGGTTGATAACAGTTACCCACCTGTATGTGAGACAGTACCACACGGAGGACACAGCTGATATGACTACTTGCCAGTTAGATACGGGGAAACCGAGGCTCAGAGAGCAGCCGTGACCTGCCAGGGGTCACACAGCGGGTGAGGGGAGAGCCCAGATGCAGTGCCCAGCAGGGATCCGGGGCTCCCCGGTGCTTGTCCGCGCCCCACCTCCCTCCGCGTGTTCAGCCTCAGCTCCTCCAGCGCCCCCAGCCGAGGTCGGGAAGGCGCCCGGCGCACTCACCACGGGGAGCCGTAGATCCGGAAGCCCCGCACGGTGACCTCCGAGTCCTGCAGGTAGATGCAGTTGGTCAGGAGGGACTGCACGTTCTCGTAGTTCTCTGGCTTCAGCTTCGACACGGACGGGAAGTAGTAGAAGTCCTGCTTGATGAGGTCAGCCATGAACTCCTGGTCAAAGGTCAGCTCGTGGTTGCCAGCAATCACGATCTTGTACTCGTAGGGCAGGCTCCCTGCAGAGGCGGACGCAGACAGACACGCAGCACATCGCTGTCGGCCTTCTGAAAGCCACAACAAGGCCCCGGGGGAGGGGGGGCAGCGGGCAGGGACAGACGACGGCCACCGGCATCCCGGGCAGAGCAGCTCCTGCCGCCCGCTCCCAGCGGGTGCCCTCGGATCAGCCCCATCATCATCCCCGCAGCCCGTCCGCCCAGGCGGCCGCTAGGGGACAGGCCACCAGACCCCAGGCCGCGGGCGGGGCCCGCACAGCTTCCTCCAGGCCTCTGAGCTGCAGCGTGCCTCGCCCCATGCTCAGGACTTGCCCGCCTCTCTTTTCTGTGTCTGGGAGACTTTTCCCCGGACAGGAGACCCTGACCTGGACCCCCAGGCCTACTCCCCCAGCCTCACTGTCCCAGGGCCCACCATGAAGTCCAAGTACAACCAAAACAAAGCTGGCTGTGCATAGCATACATTGAACCAGTAACAGGGTCCTTCTGGCCTCGCTCTGCACAGAAGCCCAGGCCATACCTCCTGCCTGTCCTCCTCTGGGGCCCCACCTGGCAGATGCCCTAAGCAGGTGTGGGGGCTGCCTCCCAGATGCTTCCAGCGCAGCTGCCCCCCCTACTAGCACAACCCCATAGACTCAGTAAACCACCACCCACCCCCAGCCCCCACCGCTCCCCAGAGCCAGCCTGGCCCCAGGCTCGGGGGGGCCCCTGACTCCCCATCTCCCACCAGCCTCAGCTGCCGGGCTCGCCGGGCCTGGAGAAAGAGTCGTGATGGCACCTGTGGGCCCTGATTTGGATGAAAAATGAAAAGCTGAAGGTGAACCAACCCGGAGGCCCACGCCCTTCTCACGGCCCCTCCCGGCGGGGCGGGTCCTGTGGGTCAGGCGAGCACTAGGGGTTCGTGAACACAGCAGCCCAGCTCGGGGCCTCGGATAGGAGTGTCCAGGCAGGCAAGTGGTGACATTCCATGGCCATTCCACAGAGAAGCAGTCATGGCCATCGGAAGGAACTTCTAAATGACCTGACTCTGGTTTCTGAAGGAGCCACAGCGACAACAGGGACACTAAGCTTTACCATCACCTGTGTCAGCAAGAGAGTCACTTCACTTGTCCCGAATTCTTCAGCATAAACGACTAGCTCACGTGATCCCAGAGGGTTGCTGGAGCACGTATATTGCGCCAGGCACCCACCATGTCCACGGTGCCGATGTAGAAACTGAGGCGCAGGGGACACCCGGGTGTGGTGGTGTGGAGGACGTGTGGCCTGGGGGTGGCAGAGCTGGACTCTGAGCCAGCCCCGTGTGGCCCCTGACACTTTCCACCTGCTTGGGGAGAGCCCAGGAGAGCGCCCCAACAAGCCCAGGTCACAGAGCTGTGTCCCAGCACACCGAAGGCCACGGCCACGCCTCTGGCTCTGGCCTTCTGTCCTGGCGCCCCAAGGTGATGAGAAAGGGGACCCTCCCAGGGGTCCTCAACCCCCCCTGGCTCCTGGCACACGGAGAAGACTGTCTGGCTGGTGGAGACCCCTCCCTCACAGTGCATCTTCTCTGATCCCGGGTCACCGTGACCCCCACAAGAGCAGACACAGGGTAAAGTGCTTAGTTTTGGGGCCAGCTGACCTCGCCTCAAATCCCGGCTCCATCAACCATCATCTGCGCAAGTCACTTAACCTCTCTGAGCCTCAGTTTCCCCTCTGATCAAGGTGGGTGTGCCTGGGGAATGCCCCTTCCTGGGGGCTAAGGATCTCTGTGCCTCCCCCCCGCCCAGGCTCCACAGAGTCCCTTCCCTGTGACTGGCTCCCCAGGGGGGAACACAGTCCAGGAACAGCAGGGCCTTCCCACCCTTGACTGTGACATGAAACCCTATGTCCTCTGCTGTCTGAGTGTTTTGTCATGAACCCAATTCCAAAAATGCTCCAAATCCTAAGGATTATTTGCCTTGAGAACGGACACCCGCAATGTTGGATCACACGTGGTCGACCTGTGGTCAGACCCGACTTCCCATAGGCCTTTTAGGGAGAAGTGTGTCTGCCCAGGCCTGTGTGAGCTCGAGGAAGGGGCAGAGTGAGTCTCATGGCAGACAATAAATCACCGTCACAATGAACAATAACAATGTTTCAGGTACTGTACCTACAATTATTATGTGCTAATCGCGAGGAAACAGAGCAGTCCAGAACCCGGTTAGAAACTTCCTTCTCCACATCCCCACCCCGCCCCGGAAACTGGGACACACAAATCCTGTCTAGCCTTGAGCTCTGTGGCCGTTCGAAGGCCACCGGGAAGAGGGGAAGCCAGAAGTGTTTTCTGGAAAACTGGCAGAAAACCACAATCTGCTCACACTTGTCACCAGCCACCCCAGAATTCTTCACAAGCTTGAGAAAAGAGTGTTTTCTCCTCTTCGGTGTTTCTCAACTCGGGGAGGCCCCGAGACAATGACAGACCAGCTCTGTCACTAACCAGCTGTGTGCCTCAGTTTCCTCACCTGTACGGTGGGAAGAAGAATGCCGACCTCGCAAAACTGTTCTGGGATTTCAGAAGGGACGGAACAGAGATCGCAACACAGGATACTCACACGATATTCACAGGCAGCTTTCCCGGGGCCAGAGTTTGCAGGCCAGACCTGCCCACAGACACATGTTGTTTGGCGTAACTTTTTTACTTGAATTTGTTGCCAAAACACACACACACACACACACACACCTCGAAAAATTCCCAGTAAAATGCCATTCTTTGTTTTCTAACAGTCGATCAATCGATTTGCACATTTCATGATCCTGGCCCAGTCAAATGCTGCGGATCTGTGCCTCCCTTAGGCAGGAAGTAGATGTCAGTTTGCCCCAGTCCCTACACTCAGCCCACGTCACTC